CTCAGCAGAGCAGCCAAAGTGAGCCATTCACACCAAGGTCAGGCCATGGCCTCCCTTCTCTGAATCCTCCAGTGAAAGCCACATTTCCAACCGTGGCTCCAGGCCCTGTGTGATCTGGGTTCGCTCCCTTCCCCCCATGTCCCCTTGCTTGCTCCGTCCCACCCGCCTTGCTGTTCTTCACTCGTGCACACACACTCCTGCCAGGGCACCGGTTGTGTCTTCCGCCTGGAACATTCTTCCCTGGTGCCCTCTCCCGCATGGAGTCTCTGCTCATGTCACCTCCTCGGTGAGCCTGCCCTGCCCGCCCCATTCATTGCTGGACATACGACGCACTCGCTCCTGCCCGTTACGCGCTTTGTCTTTCTCCAGAGCACAGCCTCTTTGGGCGCGCAGTTTTCCGACCTGACTCGTGTGTTTGCGGTTTAGGCAGCCTCCCTACACTGCTGGGTGCTGAACAAGCTCCCTGAGGGCAGGGATTTTGGTCCGTCCTGTCTCCCCATGTTCCCAGTGCTCACCGAGGTGCCTGGCACACGGGGCTCTTGCAAAATTGTTGCTGAGTGAATGAGTGACACGGGTTGGGTGAGCACCCTGTGGCATGTTGTATGGATCAGATGCCACAGGGGCTGCACCATCCACTGGGTTGTCTTCACTGGTCATAGGTGGACTCCTCAGGGGCCCTGTCACTCTACTTGGATCGAACTTGGCAGCTGGAAGGGGCTCAGGACAGCTTTAGCCCTGGACACAACCCCGTGATTGACCCTACAGGGTCCAGTATGATCCTTCTATTGTGCAATGCTGTGCAAGTGACATCATCTCCACGGCCTCGGTTTCCTTATAGAAGGGGACCTGTTTCATGTTGGGAGGATTCAGTGCAGTCACACATAACATGCTTAGGACAGTGTCTGGCATATCAGCCTCAGTGAGCCTCAGTGACAGTTTTATTGTTACACCTGATGGTGTGTCAATGCTTTGTTGTTTTTGCTTTTGAGATAAGAGTCTCACTACCGTGCCCAGGCTGGAGTACAGTATTGCGATCTCAGCTCACTGCAGCCTTGACCTGCAGGGCTCAAGCAGTCTTCCCACCTCAGCTTCCCAAGTAGCTAGAACTACAGGCAGGTGCCACCACGCCCTGCTAATTTTTGTTTTGTTTTGTTTTGTACAGACGGGGTTTAGCCATGTTGCCCAGGCTGGTCTTAAACTCCTGGACTCAAGCAATCTGCCCACCTCGGCCTCCCAAAGTGCAGGGATTACAGGGGCATGAGCCACTGTGCCCAGCCTTGATGAAGCTTTGTAATGGAAGCTGAGATGCCACCAACTGGGGCCCAGTTTGGTTCCATGGCTTTAGCCCACAGCTGGGCCACCTGCACTACAGAGGGATCTGGTGGTCTCAGCTGTCATGAGGGAGAGAGGCGCTGGCTTGAGAACCAGAACTATGTTCAAGCTCTGACTCGGCCACCTCCTTAATTGTCCTTTTGGGAAAATCTTGCCATCTTTCTGAGTCTCGTTTTCTCCATCTGTTAAAACAGGGCAGTTTAAATGAAGTACCAGAGTGGTTGAGAGATTTAAATGAGACCCTGAGTGCCAGTGCTTATTTGTTCCATTTTATTTATATGCTGTCTCAATAAAAAAACGAAAAGACAAAAAGGAATTGAGCTGAAAAGGATTGAAACTGTGCGGGCAGCTGCAAGTGAAGGAGTCCAAGAAAATGCTGTCTATGAGGCGCTGTTGACATGCTCGGGGCTAACCACTGTGTGCTTCTGAGGCTGTGTGCTTCTGAGCCTCCTAGCAGCCTGAGTGATGAGGGAAACATGCTCAGATCCTTGATTCTCAGCAGCAAGCCAGACTAAGGCCTTATTAAGGGGCCCTGCCCTGAAGGCTTCAGTGACTCAGAGGGGAGCTCCTAAGCACTGGTGAGTCCGTGCTCAGAAGGGCACAGCTGGCTGCGAGTAACTAGATCCTGAAAGCCAGCCAAGGGGCAGCTGGGTCAATCCGACCTTAGCAGGTCCACGGAAGCCCTTTACGCCAAGCAAGCTGTTTCCTTGCCTCTCTGAGTTCCTCTTACCTTGCTTTGCTAAAGCCTTTGTTCGTGCTGCCAGGGGATTTAGAGTCTGAATGGCAGCCCCAGGCCATGCCCTCCACATAGCTTACACCAGTTGTGTAACTTGGAGTGTCCCCCACAGAGGCAGGTCCCAAGTAGAGAAAAATGGCCCACTAAGGCCAGGCACAGTGGCTCACACCTGTAATCCCAGCAGGCAGATCACCTGAGGTCAGGAGTTCAAAACCAGCCTAACCAACATGGTGAAACCCCACCTCTACTAAAATACAAAATTAGCCAGTATGGTGGCGTATATCTGTAATCCCAGCTACTCAGGAGGCTGAGGCAGGAGAATTGCTTGAGGCAGAGGTTGCGGTGAGCCGAGATTGCACCATTGCGCTCCAGCCTGGGCAACAAGAGCAAAACTCCGTCTCAAAAAAAAAAAAAAGAAAAGAAAAATAGCCCACCAGAAGGATCCAGGCTGCCTTTCCAAGTCCTGAAACCCCATGAGTAGTTTGCTCTGGAAGTTTCCGCCATGCTAACCCTGGCTGCAGTATTGCCTTGTGCCTGGTCCTGGCTGCAGCAGGAACTCCTAGCCCCTTTTGCTCACCCTGCTGGTCCAGCCCAACTGGTCTCACTTTGCCAGACAAGGGCTGGAATCCAAAATGGAGAATGAAGTGCAGAAGACCGACTTCAAAATGTTATCAAGGGGCAGCCCCTCCTTCCAAACGCCAGTGGAGAACAGCCCCAGCTCCGCCCTGGGACATCTACCATTTACCAGAGGTCAGGCCCCTATCCCAGATTGTTCTACCTGCCTGCAGTCAGCTGTGCCCACTCCGTGTGGGCAGCTCCAGGGGGCAGGTGTTTACTAGAGGAGGGATATCTGAGCTCGAATGGGGCAAGCACTGCCCTGTCAGGATCAACAGCTTGACTGCTTCTTACCAGCCTTCTCAGGACTTCGCGCCAAGCTGAGGCCATGAGGGCCACCTGGTGCAGAGCCCAGCTGCCTGGTTCACACTCCAGCTCTGTTGTGACTTTGGGCAGGTCCCTGAAGGCCCCTAAGTCCTGGTTTCCTCCTCTATAAAATAAAAGAGTTGGAGGAGATGGTCCTTAAAATTTCCAGATCAATCGTGTTATGATTCTGTGCCTTATGACCATGTGGCTTAGAGAAAATTACATTGGGGGCATCCAGCCTTGAGCATTGAAAGGAACAAGAGCTTATTTAGCACATGCTGCATGCCAGGAACTCTGTGCCCATTTCACAGATGGAGAAACTAAGGTTCAGAATGATGAGGAGTCTTGATTTTTTTTTTTTTTTTTTTTTTTGAGACGGAGTCTCGCTCTCTTGCTCTGTCACCCAGGCTGGAGTGCAATGGTGCAATCTCGGTTCACTGCAACCTCCACCTCCTGGGTTCAAGCGATTCTCCTGCCTCAGCCTCCCGAGTAGCTGGGATTACAGGTGCCTACCACCATGCCCGGCTAATTTTTGTATTTTTAGTAGTGACGGTTGGCCTCACCATATTGGCCAGGCTGGTCTCCAACTCCTGACCTCAGGTGATCCACCTGCCTCGGCTTCCCAAAGTGCTGGGATTACAGGTGTGAGCCACCGTGCCTAACCCAAGTGCCTATCTTTCCACCCTACCTTGCTGTCCTCAGAGTTAAAAAGTAGAGAGGCTGGCCACGGTGGTTCATGCCTGTAATCCTGGCACTTTCAAAAGCTGAGGCGGGCAGATCACTTGAGGTCAGGAGTTCAAGACCAGCCTGGCCAATGTGGTGAAACCACATCTCTACTAAAAATATAAAAATTAGCGGGGCATGGTGGTGCATGCCTGTGATTCCAGCTACTTGGGAGGCTGAGGCAAGAGAATTGCTTGAACCTGAGAGGTGGAAGTTGCAGTGAGCCGGGATCTCACCACTGCACTCCAGCCTGGGTGACAGAACGAAACACCATCTCAAAAAAAAAGTGAAGGGGAGAGCATGACCCAGAGAAAGAATCAAAAATAAAGAGAAGCCACAGATGGGAACATTTTAAGAATATCTAGGTAGAACAGTGCCAGATGCCAAAGGCAAGGTTTCTGTCTCAGCCTTTTCTGTGACTCACTGGGTCCCCCCGGACAGGTCACTGGTCCCACTTGGTCCCACCCAGCATTTTCTTTGGTCAAATGAATGTAAACTCCTGGCCTGCCTGCCCACCTGCCTAGGCTCAAGGGTGAAATGAGCTGGATGGCTGCAGTCGGAGGTGCTCTGTGGCTGCACGGCTCATTCATAAAACGAGGCATCCAAATCCAGTGTGGGGTTTGGCTAATGGTGACATTCCAATGTCTGTTTCCTAGTTGTGACAAATGTCCCATGGTGGTGTCAGCTGGGAGCAATAGGGTGAAGTGCGTGAGGAAGCCTCTGTGCTGTCGTCTTTGCACCTTTTCTGATAATCTACAAATATTCTAAAATTAAAAGTCTATTTAGGCCAGGCACAGTGGCTCACACCTGTAATCTCAGCACTTTAGGAGGCCGAGATGGGCGGATCACCTGAGGTCAGGAGTTCGAGACCTGCCTAGCCAACATGGCGAAACCCCATCTCTACTAAAAATATAAAAATTAACTCGGTGTGTTGGCGTGTGCCTGTAATCCCAGCTACTTGGGAGGCTGAGGCAGGAGAATTCCTTGATCCTGGTAGGCAGAGGCTGCAGTGAGCAGAGATCACACCACTGCATTTCAGCCTGGGTGACAGAGCAAGACTCTGTCTTAAAAAAAAAAAAAAAAAAAAAAAGGGCCGGGTGCGGTGGCTCACGCCTGTAATCCCAGCACTTTGGGAGGCCAAGGCGGGTGGATCACGAGGTCAGGAGATCGAGACCACCCTGGCTAACACAGTGAAACCCCATCTCTACTAAAAATACAAAAAATTAGCCAGGCGTAGTGGTGGGCGCCTGTAGTCCCAGCTACTCGGGAGGCTGAGGCAGGAGAATGGCATGAACCCAGGAGGCGGAGCTTGCATTGAGCCCAGATCACGCCACTGCACTCCAGCCTGGGCGACAGCGAGACTCTGTCTCAAAAAAAAAAAAAAAAACTTATTTAAATTGGAGAATAAGAATATATAAGCATCTCCATCCCACAACCATAAACGAATTGATAAATCAAACTGTATAAATGTATAGCAAATGATTATATCATGAGTCATGATACAGAGTGATTTATTCACAATAGCCATGTAATATGTGGGATTTAAAAGGAACTGGTACATTTATTTCTACTGATACCAAAATCTTTTAAATCTATCATTGATTGAGGAAAACAACTTCGTTAGACTTAGTGTCCTGTATGGTAATATTTGTGAAAAATATTAAACCCAGAATAGAAAAATTGCATATAAAGCCAGAGATAGACCTCAAATTTTTTTTATTTTTTTAATTTTTTTAGGTGGAGTCTTGCTCTCGTTGCCCAGGCTGGAGTGCAATGGTGCAATATTGGCTTACTGCAACTTCCACCTCCTGGGTTCATGTAATTCTCCTGCCTCAGCCTACCGAATAGCTGGGATTACAGACATCCACCACTACAGCCAACTAATTTTTGTATTTTTAGTAGAGACAGAGTTTCACCATGTTGGCCAGGCTGGTCTCAAACTCCTGACCTTGTGATCCACCGACCTCGGCCTCCCAAAGTGCTGGGATTATAGGCATTAACTACTGCACTGGCCGACCTCAAATTTTTATGCCTGGAGATTAGTAAAGGGCATGGGATAATGAAGGGGAACTTTTATTTTATTTTATTTTATTTTTGAGATGGTGGCTCAGTCTGTTGTCCAGGCTGGGGTGCAGTGGTGCAATCATGGCTCACTGCAGCCTCAACCTCGAAGTCTTAAGTGATCTTCCCACCTCAGCCCCCTGAGTAGCTAGAACCACAGGCACATGGCACCACACCTGGCTAATTTTTAAATTTTCTGTAGAGATGGGGTCTCACTATGTTGTCCAAGCTGGTCTCAAACTCCTGGGCTCAAGCGATCCTCCTGCCTCAGCCTCGGAAGGTGTTAGGATTACAGGCGTGAGCCACCATGCCTGGCCTAATTTTATTCCTTAAATATGTTAGAATAAGTGTTTTCCCTTGAGAGCTGTGAGTTTTTTCAGTGAAAAAGTATTCAAAAGGTTTGTCAGTATGTCCATAAAAACGAAGATAGGAGAGGAGGGACAGGACCTGGGAGGGCAACCTGCAGCCTGCTCTCGCTGTCCTTTCCTCCGGCAGTGTCTGCACTGCGGGTTGAGCTTTTCCCAGGGCGCATTTTGCTCCTGGAGCCAAGTCTAGCAGAGCAGCCATACAGTCAGGGTGGGGTGGGCCAGGCGGAGGAGCAGGCTGCAAAGGGGGCACGGTGGTGGCCTAGGGGTCTCAGGGAAGGGCTGTGGGAGCACAGGGGTGTCCTCAGTGCTAGAGCTTTCAGGGGCCTTGGTACCGCGAGCTGTCTCTTGGGGGCAGAAGGTCACTCCATGCAGGGGCAGCAGGTGCTGGCCACCACATTCTCCAGCAAGGTGACAGCAGAGGCTTCCTAGGGTCCCCTTCCTAGGAAAGGAGCCTGGGCTGCCCTGATGGGTCTGCTGTCTCTCTCTCCCACAGGATGAAAATGAGACGCTACAAGCTCTTTCTCATGTTCTGTATGGCCGGCCTGTGCCTCATCTCCTTCCTGCACTTCTTCAAGACCCTGTCCTATGTCACCTTCCCCCGAGAACTGGCCTCCCTCAGCCCTAACCTGGTGTCCAGCTTCTTCTGGAACAATGCGCCTGTCACGCCCCAGGCCAGCCCCGAGCCTGGAGACCCCGACCTGCTGCGCACCCCGCTCTACTCGCACTCGCCCCTGCTGCAGCCGCTACCGCCCAGCAAGGCGGCGGAGGAGCTCCACCGGGTGGACTTCGTGCTGCCCGAGGACACCACCGAGTATTTCGTGCGCACCAAGGCTGGCGGCGTCTGCTTCAAACCCGGCACCAAGATGCTGGAGAGGCCGCCCCCAGGACGGCCGGAGGAGAAGCCCGAGGGGGCCAACGGCTCCTCGGCCCGGCGCCCACCCCGGTACCTGCTGAGCGCCCGGGAGCGCACGGGCGGCCGGGGCGCGCGGCGCAAGTGGGTGGAGTGCGTGTGCCTGCCCGGCTGGCATGGACCTAGCTGCGGTGTGCCCACCGTGGTGCAGTACTCCAACCTGCCCACCAAGGAGCGGCTGGTGCCCAGGGAGGTGCCGCGCCGCGTCATCAATGCCATCAACGTCAACCACGAGTTCGACCTGCTGGACGTGCGCTTCCACGAGCTGGGTGACGTGGTGGACGCCTTCGTGGTGTGTGAGTCCAACTTCACAGCTTACGGGGAGCCGCGGCCACTGAAGTTCCGGGAGATGCTGACCAACGGCACCTTCGAGTACATCCGCCACAAGGTGCTCTATGTCTTCCTGGACCACTTCCCGCCCGGCGGCCGGCAGGACGGCTGGATCGCCGACGACTACCTGCGCACCTTCCTCACCCAGGACGGCGTCTCGCGGCTGCGCAACCTGCGGCCCGACGACGTCTTCATCATTGACGACGCGGACGAGATCCCCGCCCGGGACGGCGTCCTCTTCCTCAAGCTCTACGACGGCTGGACCGAGCCCTTCGCCTTCCACATGCGCAAGTCACTCTACGGCTTTTTCTGGAAGCAGCCGGGCACCCTGGAGGTGGTGTCGGGCTGCACGGTGGACATGCTGCAGGCAGTGTACGGGCTGGACGGCATCCGCCTGCGCCGCCGCCAGTACTACACCATGCCCAACTTCAGGCAGTACGAGAACCGCACCGGCCACATCCTGGTGCAGTGGTCGCTGGGCAGCCCCCTGCACTTCGCCGGCTGGCACTGCTCCTGGTGCTTCACGCCCGAGGGCATCTACTTCAAGCTCGTGTCCGCCCAGAATGGTGACTTCCCGCGCTGGGGTGACTACGAGGACAAGCGGGACCTGAACTACATCCGCGGCCTGATCCGCACCGGGGGCTGGTTCGACGGCACGCAGCAGGAGTACCCGCCCGCGGACCCCAGCGAGCACATGTATGCGCCCAAGTACCTGCTGAAGAACTACGACCAGTTCCGCTACCTGCTGGACAACCCCTACCAGGAGCCCAGGAGCACGGCGGCGGGAGGGCGGCGCCACAGGGGTCCCGAGGGAAGGCTGCCCGCCCGGAGCAAACTGGATGAGGCCGAAGGCTAGGGCTGCATGATCTGATAGGGCTCGTGGCAGGGCGGGGGTGGCGACGGCCCCTAGCGCTATCTCCCTGCCTCCTGCCAGCTCCGTGGTTCTTGAGAGGACCAGGAGTGGGTGGGGAGTGGGAGTGGGGGTAGGGTTTCCCTACTTCACCCTTGTGAATCAAGGGTCAGGTCTTTGAGCTCAGAAAACATCCCTCCTGTTGGGAGAGGGCGCAGGCCGTGATGGCTGGGTGGCTGTTCTGACTGCCAAGACTGCTGTGGCTGTGGCCAGGAGGTGCCACTGGAGTGTGTGTGGTGGTCCCTGGGTAGCGGGGGACGGCAGGCAGGGCTGGGGAAGACAGCCTGCAGGGTCCCACCAGGCAGCCTCTGGGGTGTGGCCAGACCAGGAAAAAAGCCCACCATTTGGCATCCCTGGGTCTTGGGCTAGGTGTGGGAGACCCGTCTGCCAGGAGGACCCAGGGCTTCGTAAGTAGATGCATTTGGGTCCAGGGGGAAGCATGGACGCCTGGGAGGGAAGAGATGAAAAACCACATCCTACCAAGAGGAGGTGCTGAGGGATGCTTTGCAGTGTTGTCAAGTGCTGGGCCAGAGGGAGACAGAACTCCACCGCCTGCCACAAAGGACAGGACCTGGCTGCCCTGAGTCTGTCTCTCTGCTCCCCTCAGGTTGTCGTAAGCCAACACAGGGGCCTGGAGAATCCTGAGGAGCTTTCCTTTGGGTTCCAAACCGGGCCTTGACGTTCCTTCTCCCGTTTTTACATTGCTGTCTTGTGGACTGTGCACTCAGTCCTTGCAAGGCCAGGAGTCCAGTTGTAAGTGGGGCCTTGAGGGGGAATTGGGAAGGAGAAGACTGACATGAGGCCTCTGCACGGATCCGTCTCTCCCTCCCCATCACCCCTTCCTTCTGACACCCAGTCCCAGCTGCAGTCACTATTGTGCCCCTCCTTGGGGCAGGCTGGCTGGGGGCCAGGAAGGGGCCATGAGGCTGCCTTGGGCCCAAGAAGGGACAATAAGGCCAGTTGTATGCTTCCTATTTCTCATAGCTTGCCTTGGTCGAGATGTCTTTGTTGGAATTGAGTCTAAGCTGCTGTGATTAAGAGACCCTGAAATACAGTGGTTTAAGCAAGACAGAAGCTTGTTTCTAATTAGTCTAGATTGAGATGGCCCAGAGCTGGTAGGGCAGCTCTGTGTTTCTTCATAGGCACCTTACAATTCTGGGTACACAGTGGCTGCTCCAGCGCCAACCCTCCTGTGAGCATCCAAGCCTGAGGGAAGCAGAAATAGGCAAGAGGGGCACACCCACTTTTTGCTAAGGGCATGAGCCAGAATTGGCAGGCTCACCTCTGCTGGCCTCTCATTGGCTGGGACTCAGCCACATGGCCACAAGCAGCTGCAAGGGAACCTGGGAAGTGTAGTCTTCAGTGCAGCCGCCATGTGTCTGGCCTCACCTTGGGAGTTCTCTTATTGATAGAGAAGAAGAGAATGGTTATGGGGGACCAGTAGCATCTCTGGGAGAGGGGGAGGGGGCAGCAATAATTCAGTCGTCAGATCCCGCTCTCATTGTCAGAGTTTCCGGAATAGCTTGTTCCTGTTCCCCTCACTGTGCAGCCCAGGGCGGGGGGCAGTGAGGAGCCTGCAGCTCTGTGGGAAGGGGAAACGCCCCCTCCCCTCGGCCCCTCAAAGGCTACCCAATGATGCTGGTTTGCAGAGCTGGCCTGTGGAATGGCTCATGTTTGTGCGTGTGTGTGTGTATATTTATGGGCATGGGTGCATGCTTGGTGTGTATTTGTACATGTCTGTATTGCTGTGTCCCTGTAAATACATGCTTGTGTGTGGATGGGGGAGGCCAGGCCCAGGTGTCCTTCGTCAGGCCTGTGGCCACACCTCCTGCAGCTCCCCAAAATGACTGAGGCGGAAAGCCCTTGGGGAGCCTAGAAAGCAAAGCTAAAGGGGATGCAGGGTCTGTCCGTCTGTCTGTCTTTCAGTCTGAGGAATGAGAATCCTCCTGACCTGAGGGCTGTGCAGCTGAGAGCCCACTACCTCCCCAGCCCCTCTCAGCCCCAGCCACATGATCCCACCCGTCCCCTCCCCCACCTCCAGTGGGGCCATCTCCGGTTGTCTTATTGTTGGGGGTTTCCTGATGGGCCAGAAGAGGAGGGCATCTCCTTGCCACAGCTTTGTCTGGGTTAAGTGCCCAGTGAGGGCATGGTGTGGGGGGCTGGCCTCAGAGCAGCCACTGGTGGGCAAGCGTGAAGTGGGCTGAGGGGCTCTGAGCCACTTCACTCCCATCTAGGGGACTGCCCCCATGGAACTCCTCCTTTGAAGTCACAGCAGCCTTCCTTTCTGTTTCCTCTTGGGGCCGAGAGGTGGCTCAAGAAGTCAGGGTCCCTGTGGCTCTGGGTCAATCCAGGCCAGGCTGCATCCCACGGACAGGGAGTCTCACGGCTCCTGATCATGCCCAGGCCCTAGCCTGGGGCCTCCCTCCTTGGCAGCTTCCTCACCCCACGCCCCTGGCACCCTCAGTTGCTGTGGGGATGCCCCTCCAGGGCACCAGCTCAGGGCTAAGGGAAGGAAGACAGGAGCAGCTCAGAGCTGCCAGGCCCTGCCTTCCTCGCAGACCTGGTGGGGCAGGGCCTGTTCACAGCAGCAGGAGTGAAGGCCTGGCCATCGGTGGAGAGGACAGCTGTTAGAGGGGTGGAGGCCAGGGCGTGGGGTTGAAGAGTTTCACATATCATCACAGCATACACTGGGAATCTGGTGGAGGTAGAGGAACCCAGGGCCACTCCCTCAGTACAAAGGGAAACCAAGCTGAATGTGACCACTGCTGCCATGTGCCATGTCCACGCTTCTCCCCGGGAATAACTGGCCCTGAGACCCCTAGACCCAAGGAGGCCTGTCCATGCCAAGCATCCAGGAAGCATGGCCGACCCTGTCCACCCATGGGTTACGTCGGTTCCCGGGGCAGCATGGGAGAGCTTTGGGGGCAAGAGGGAGAGTCCGGGTGGGGAGACAGGACTTGCCCAAGCAGAAGGCAGGACCCTGGGAAATGTATAATTTAAGGACATCAATAATAGTATTATTTTTTTTTGTAAGGGAAAATCAATATGTACATTCTGAAATCATTTTCTCTGTAAATGGTTGGATTTCATTTCACCCTTAAAGGGATGCTTAAAGGAGAAGATAATATTAATAATAAAAACAGCTACAAAGTCTGAATTGTATGCGTATGTGGCTGGTTTGTGGGTGCTCTGGGGCAGGGAGGGGTGGGAGGAGGTGTCTCTGGTCTTGCTAAAGACACCCTTGCTTCTGGATCCATGGCATGCAAGACCTTCCTGAGGACTGGATGGCCAGTGGGGTGAGGGGGCTGCAGGGAGCACCTTCACTTAGGGACGAAGTGTCCCCCAGCCGCAGGTGGAAGCAGCTGGGAAGTGGAAGATGCTGGGCCGAGGTCTGGCAAAAGGAAGCAGAAGTGAGCCAGGCTCCTAGGACTGGGGACGCCCACCCTCCTGCAGTGGGCAGGGACCCCTTTGGGGATCTGGATGAAGGCGCTGGTGCCTCTGCAGAGAGGGAGTGGTTCTCCAGTTCTGCTCTGGAGCATCAAAATAAGTGCTCCTGCCTCAGCAGTTTTTCCTGTTGAGTTCTAAATGCCTCATCCAAGGTCACAGTCGTGTCGATTCTGGGTCTGGACTCTCAGCACCAGGTCCTCTGGACTCCCAGGAGCAGGTATCTCCGTCCCATGGAGCCAACCTTGGACTTGTGCTTGGACAGTGCGTGGAGCCTTGGGATGTGGGCACTTCCAAGGAGCTTCCTCTGGGCCGGGTGGACACTGGAGTTGTCCTGGGAGTCCCCTGTGTGTGTCCTAAAGAGAATCTGAGGTGGTGGGAACAGACTTTTTTTTTTTTTTTTTT